TCATCACTTTTTAATATTTTGTTTTAAATAATAAATATCCGTTTTTTATTTTCGTGCCATTGGCTAATATTTGGACGCAAGTAATTGGTTAAAATAATATATGTTGCTAACTTACTCACAGTTTGCAAAATGGTGGGCCCTACGTGCAAGCAATGCGAGGCGAAGATTGACCCACTTCTGCTGAACCCGCAGCGGTCTACGACGGACCCCCGAGAGCGCTGCGTCTGCTGCGGGAAGCTGCAGTACGGCTACGCATTCCGTACAATCAGCGGGCGGGACATCGTGCGGCGCTGTACTGCCTGCGAGAGCGACTCAAAAGCGGTTGAGTTCTGGGAGGAAAAGCCCCACCACCTGATTCGACCGAAGTGCGCCGCCAGGAAAGCCTGTCAAACGTCAAGAAGGCGATGGGCCTTGACTGGTACCCCAACAAGAGTAAGATCCGCAGCCGCCATCGCAAGCTGACCGCCCGAAATGCCAAGTACATCGAGCAAAAGAAGCAGCAGAAGAGGAAGTAACGGTAAATATACCCTTTTATGCCCCTATTTTCCTACCTATTTTTGTTTTTGGTATACTGGATGACGGTGCGAGGCTTGGGGCCGCACATACGGTAAGCTGACTGTGGCGCTACCGAGCATGTTGACGCATCTATAGAGCGTAGCGCGTTTCATCTAATAACTAGCACGGGGTATGTACTGTATTGCTGCTGCAAACTGACCGCTCCTGTTTGCATACGCGTCTGCGTAGAAAGCAAGTACACTCGCTCACTTGGCACACGCAAACCGATGCTATCTGTACCACCCACGCTCACAACGTATATTACACTTATGCGCGCTCACAAATTTAAGCAACAATATTGAGTGGGAATCACGCGCGACGAATAAGTTGATGTCTACACAGACACGAGCACGTGTGTGGACGTGCAAACCATACAGGTGGGTGTGTCAAGTCGGTGTGTCTGTACGCAGTACCGTACTTTAAAGCCCTGCTCAAATTTACCGGGATCAGAGCTGGGGATGGTTATACGTGTACCCGCCGCGCGCGTATATATCTGCGAGCAGACGCGCGGTCAGCTATCCTGTATCCCCGCGGTATGGCATGTGCCGAATTAGCAACGCGCCTGGTCATATAAACTGATACATCAGAAGCGTAAGCACAGTAAGCCAGCACGACGACGCAAATGAACCGAGAAAGCGACAGTGATCCTATACATAGGTTTTAGATGTCACGAGCGCGTGGTATACACACTCAGTAACGAACTCGCAATATATGCACGGATACATCAAATAGCACGCCGAGTTGATAAGTAGGCAGCAAAAGTACTTCATATAATGTACATGAGCGACAATTCGAATCAAGTCTACGACATCTACGATCTGATAATCTGCCTACAGCTATGTGGCTTCGTATGTTCGTCATACATATCGGAGCCAGTAAATGTCACTCGAAAGGGTCTACGCCACTCTATCAGTCAGAATCTATGCAAATAAGTCAGTATGTGCGGCAGCTATGCAAGTAGAATCAATGCATGCAAAAGATAGTGGAAACATTCTTCAGTAATATCATCAAGAGCTCAGCAGAACAATCGCAACGCATAATATTGGTGTTTGTCGCGACTATCGGCAAAATCTACCTGTCCTAAAAGATACTTCGTGCAAGGAGCTGACTAAACCTTTCTCTAATAGACCGTCGCAATCAATGATATGGTGTCGACTGCCTCACGGCGATGACGTGACAGATGATATTATGTTTGAGCAGACGTATTTACTCCAGCTAAACTGGAATTCCTCAATGGGATATGCCAATGTGGATCATCACTGATACTGACATGTCTTCTGAACAGCATTTGTTAGCTTTTGCATCGGGCACGCCTCCGATTCGTGTCATTTTGGGAGCTATTCGCTCAAATGCGATTATAGACAAAACCTTCACGGGTAAGATGGTGCTCATCTTGCAGATCACGTTAAACCCTGATCATATCTATCATAACATGTGGCACTAAAGATACTGTGTGCGGTGTTGTTTTGGAGCGTAATATAGGTATTACACAGTATGCATGTACTATATGTTGCTTTGCTGTACGTAGAAACGCTAATCCCACCGCAGCGCAGCGAAGGTGGTCAGCCCGCACTACACCAACCAACCATACCCTAGCGTCCGCGGAGCGGGCGCCCAGACCGCTAGTTGACTACTGACTATAATACTAACTAGTCAATACATGAAGCAGGCGAAAAATGAAGCGAGGCAGCAGTACCACTTTCAAATATCCAGGAGTGGGTTCAATGGGTTCAAAAGGCTACAAGCCATTTGGGGAGACGCCGTTCATTGGCTTCATCGTGGCCAATGGAGAGGAATAACCTCCTCCTAAGATCTCTTCGAGGGTGCTCCGTGACAAAGGGAAGACCTGAATCGGCTTGGACACGTGCAGCAGGGTCTTGTGATTGTTGAGCAAAAAGGGGACGGAGTGGAAAAGGTTATTTTGCAGATCTTCTCTTTCCTCCTCACAGTCCAAGACCTGGAGAGTATGACTCTAGTCTCCAAGAACTGGAGAGAGCTGACCGATGAACAGGAATTGTATCGGCCATTCCCGAGCGTGACTCCTGACGGCTCTGTCAATTGGATCAATTTCAAGAAATTGAGCTTCAAGTGCGAGGGCTCCGAAGGTGAATGCTTCAAGTGTCTTGAACGCTCCACTGGCAGAGTTTTAGCGATGAAGAGGACACGAATATTTCCAGAGGCAAGTCTAAGCATACAGACGTGGGTCTGGTCTAAATGGAGGAATTACGTCTAATGTAGCCTTCATCTTGTTGAATTAGGAGGAAGGAGTGCCGTATTATATGATCCGAGAGCTTGGCCTGCTCAAGGGGACAACGCACGACCATATCACGTCTCTGGAGATCGTCAGTCTTGTCAAGGACGAGCTTCACATGTTCTTCCCTAACGTGGACCGCACGTTGGACGATGTCATATACCCAACAGGGAGCTGTGAAGACGGCCGTGTTTTGCCTGAGCCTGTGGTACGTATACTGTGCACTAAACTATAGAGTGTACAGTTTCACTTTTACAACCGAAATACTTTACTGTACAGATTCGCAAACTTCTTTACCAACTTCTGGATGCAGTCGCGTACTGTCACCGTCGTGGAGTTCTACATCGTAATCTGAAGCCGAGACATTTACTCATCCAGATGTCGGAACAGGCCAATCTCAGTGAGTTGTCGACTGCGATGTGGCTTTTGCTTTGACATTCTTCGTTAATATTTCAACTTTTTTTGCTTGCTTAGGCGATGCAACACTGCAGATCTCAGACTTCGCGCTAGCTCGAGCTACAGGAATTCCTGGTCAAGCGTATACTGACGAGGTAGTGACGCGATGGTACCGTGCTCCAGAGCTCCTGATGGGTGTGGTAGAGTATTCTTCGGCAGTTGACATGTGGTCTGTTGGCTGCATTTTTGCCGAAATGATCCGAGGTGAGGCTCTGTTTACTGGCGTTTCGGAGATCGATCAGTTGTTTCAGATCTTCAGCAAGTTGTCGACCCCCACGTTGGAAACGTGGCCGGGCTTCTCGTCCTTACCAAACTACCAGTTTGAGTTCCCCCACTTTGAACGTAGACCCACGGCGACTCTGTTTCCAGACGCATCGGATCTTGGCATTGATCTGCTTGCAAAACTGCTGACGTACAATTCAAACGAGCGGATTTCGGCCGAAGAAGCGCTTGGCCACCCCTATTTCTTCGACGTCACGCCTGTATTCTTTCCGGTGAAGGTCAAGGATTGCATGAGCCAGATGTGGCGCGCAGTGGCTCAAATGTGGAGTCCTACTCCACAACACTTGGCACTGTTCCACTCGTACCTGCGTCAAACGGAGGCGGAAACCTGGGCTCAGGTCGAGTATTTGGAGTACGTACTGCCGCGACCTTCTGTACATTTTGTCACGCATATTTGCTAATGCTGTGGTGTGTTTCTTGCGTAGCCGACAGGAGACACTGACATCAACACACCGATCACTGCTTGTTGACTGGATCATTGACGGTAAGCTGCCCCTTTAAATCGTTTTGATCCGGCTAGGTTCTTACCTGTCCTTACACTTTTCACAGTGGTGGATGTGTTCAAATTGTCCCCCCGAACTTTTTTTCTTGCTGTCGACTACACCGATCGCTACCTGGAATTTGCAACTGTGGGGAAATCGCAACTTCAATTGCTCGGGGCGGCCTGTTTGCATGCTGCGTCAAAGATGGAAGACTTAACTTATATTGGCGTGAGAGATCTCGTGTTATGCGCTGACAATATCTACACGGCAACTGAAGTGCGGGAAATGGAAGTGAAAGTGTTGAACACTCTCAACTTCGCACTCCTCGTGCCTACAGGTACATATTGTTTCCGTCGATTAACTGAGTTCTGAACTTGTTTAACCACAAAATCGTAGCGCTGGATTTCCTGAACATCTACGAGCGACTGATCCCACCTATTGAGAAGAAGACATCCATGTTGGCGCATTACTTGGTTGAGCTTTCCCTACAAGAGTACCAGTTTCTGAAGTATTCGCCATCGGTTGTGGCTACATGTTGCTTGTCGAGGGCGATGTACATGATCGACGAGGGTCCGATGGTGAGTTAGAACACGAGTTGAGCAGGATCGACAATCTTGAATGTGTCCTAACTATGTCATTATCTGCTTGCTTTTAGTCGAAGGATCTGGCGAATGTCTGTCTATATAGCTGGTCGGACTTACAAGGCTGCATGATGGAGCTCCAAAAGCTGTCCTCAAACGCATCTTCCAACACTTTTACTACGATCAAGAAACGGTATTCAAGGACTGAGTGGCGAACGTTTCTCCACCCGAGTCGTTCAATATGGCATTTTAGCTGTCTGCCTATCCATAAGTCAGCTAACCATTCTTCTCTTTCGTCATCAGCCCTGAAGCGAAGTGCTTCTACTTTATATTGTGGAGTAAATTTTCTTTTTGTGATTCACAATCTTCGTTTTTTTAATAACAAATAAAACTGTTACCACGTAGTATATTCTACTACATGTACATTTATTATTCTTGAATGTTGCCGATCTCGCATAATAATCTATTGCTATGCACTTTGTGCTCCCAATTGCTACGCCCGTTTATTTGTTACAACCCGTCTTTTGTCTCGGTGTCAAGTTGCCACTGGTAGTGTATGATGGAAAGTATCGTCACCAATCTATCTTGCTACCCAGTACCTGTTATTCTGCGACAGCAACTACCGCAAGGTAGGCTGCTAGACAGCCGTCATCAGTTAAATTCGTATGTCGTGTACGGACGTATGAAGTTCAGCTTGATTGATATCAGAAGCAAAAGAAATGCCTGACTAAGTAATTGTCAATGACTCATTGATCTCCGATTATTATTATTGACCAGAAATATTACTACTTTTACGTAAGTATATATAAATATATTTCAAAATAGGAAAGTGCGAAGGCGTCGACAAAGAAGCCCACGATTCTTTAGAATGCTTGCACCGTAACGCTCACGCGTATTTATAATATGATTTGCTGTGCCGCAGCTAGCACACAAGGTTTTGCTCTTAAGAAAACAAACTAGAAAACCAGAAAAATGTGAGTACATGTACAACCAGTGTATGTTTGTACGAAGTACTTTCAAGCTCCTATCTTACTGTAATTTGGCTTAGCTTATAATGGGTCATACTAAGCTCATGCGACCGCCAAGATTAGATTACGTCAATAAGTTAAAAAAAAAAAGCGCAGCAAAGCAGATTCCGCGGCTGCGAAGGTGATGCTTTGTCATTGTTTTGCGTGAGCTTTACTACGTAGTACTTTGAAGTAAGAAATGGCAAAAGCTTAACGCTAAAAATCGAAGAAATCATTCCTACCTCGTAGGCTTAGTACTGGTGACACCTGACGGAAATCACCGATTATTATAATATGTACCCGGGACACTTTTATTAGGGTATTCGGGAATTTATTATACTGCGCTTACAATCTTTAAGCACAATACAATGCATTTTACTAATTACTGTAATTTAATATTGTTTTTCTTCTTAATAATGCACGCTAGATATTACTCTGGTACAGGTACTGTAGTATGGTACTGTAGCTTAATATGTTTGGCGTGCTGTCATTGATTTTCCTTTTATTAATAAACCCAAAAGTGCTTGGGCTATTCACTTTCACTTATATTGAACCCTCTACCCTTCAAGCAGCATCATCTGGGTGATTGAGTTTTGATGTCTTCCCTGGCCGACACAAGCTACATTCACGTTTTTTTTCATTGTATGCGGCCTCTAGTTTGAAAGTGAATATCGGCATTTTTGCCAAAACAATTATGGCGTCACTCTGATACAGCAGCAATTATACATCAAGTTCTACAGTTTAGTTTGTGTGTAATTTAATATTTCCGCTGTTTTCGTTAATCGCTGGATGGAGAATAAATAAGAGTATCTATTGCTGAGTAAAACCGCTAATATTTTTCTTTCTTGTATTGTCCGTTAGAATTTGTGTGATCACAATTCTAGCGAGCAGTTTCGTCGGCAGTTTCATTGTTGAAAACAGCAGCCAGAGCACTTGCCTCTGGCCTAGAGGCAATTTGTGGGGACGACAGGCACTCCAACCAAACTTTATGCACAGGAGCACTAGCGACACTTGCACAGGCTTAGCAATATTTCAAACAAGCCTGTCGTTGTAGTGATCGCCTGTCAGATAGCCAGGTTGCAATCTCAACGCACGATCACACTGTTACACTCGCCTGATGTAGCCATCTCCAGTTTTTTCACCATTTTCTTCTAAAATCCACACAATCCAACGACACCTTTCCTCATCCACCAATCAGCACAAAGTTTTACCAAATCCTGTCCAATCAGCTCGCAAAAAAACCACGAGAGTGCTGGTCTCTGCTACACTGAAAGAAGAAAAATGCGCGCGGAATCAATGAACCGTCCATACAAAAACTAAAAGGAAACTTGAGCCCGAGATCTCTCCGCCTCGGCTTGTTCACTGCTGTCAATAAGGAGCTGCAGGCGCCTGCTCCTCGCTGCTCTCGAGCCCCAGCGCCAAGTCTCTCTCATATCAGCCAGGTGCGAAATCCTACACATAGGCTCAAGTGCCTCTGCTGCCTCTACCGTCGAGAAATCCTAGTATTTATAAAAATTGAGTTTTTATTCATTTACTAATGCAGAGCATCTCTGGATGGACGCTCAGTCTTCAGCTAATCGCGCGTCCTCTTCCTCGGACTCGACACCCTCCAAGAAGCGTAGAGCCACTTCTGGAGCCTCAAATCAAGGGCTCGGAGTCGCCGTACCAGCCAGAACTGAGCCCCACAGGAAACGGAGTGGCTTGCCGCTGCTACTGTGCACCCCCGGGGCCGAGAACCCCATCCTGGCAGCACTAGGAGGGACTCCGCGCTCTCAGGCAGCCGTCGTCGACGGATTACCAGAGCCAGAGCCTCTCGATCTGTCCCAGTGTAGCGCGGCGACGTCCATGGACAGCATGAGGGAGGAGAAGATGGAGACTCACGTGAAGGAGGAGAAGAAGGAGAGAGATGCGATAGTGAAGGAGGAGAAGGTCAACGCTATGGACCTCAATCAGGAACACAAGCCTCATGTCAAGACGGAGAAGAGTGAGACCAAATACAGAGTTGACGCAGCTCCATTTGGTAAGCAAGGTGCAGACTGGCTGCGTGTGTGTGTGTGTGTGGAGAGGATTGTTGATGTGTGAGTGGTGTATTGACAGTGGGCAAGAGGAAACGCGAAGACGCGAGTGAGGAGGACAAGACGACGGACTTTGTGGCGTATGCCAGGGAACACATTCACAGCCAGGAAGCAGGCGAGGAGGGATTCTCGATTGACCCGTCGGAACGAGCGGTGGAGCATCGTGCAAGTAAAGTGGTACGTCGAGAGATATTGATTACCTCTCCTGCTGCCAATGATGACGAAGAGTGGGAAGGAAATGGGCCCCTTGAAGTGAAAATGGAGGAAGTGGAAGCGGTGCCGACTCCCTCGGAGCACTTCGACCTGCAGCCTATCGACATCATCTTGCACGTGTTCTCCTTCTTAGTGACGGCGAAGGATCTGCAGAATATGGCCCAAGTGTCGAAGAAGTGGAAAGAGCTCACCAGTCGACGCTCGTTGTACCGATCTCTTGCCAGTGTGACGCCGGAAGGATCAGTGAACTGGATCAACTTCAAGAACTTGGGTATAAAGAACAAAGGGACCGAGGGAACCTGTATCAAGTGCTGTCAGCGATCGTCTGGCAAGATCTTGGCTATGAAGAAGGCCAGAGTGTTCCCCAAGGTATGTGTGCAGAACGAATTTTGGTTTATCCGCTTGTACTAATACTCGCGCTGGTATGTGCCACAGGGCGAAGGAGTTCCTTACTACATGCTCCGAGAACTAGCTGTGCTGAAGGGAATCAAGCACGACCACATTGCGTCTCTTGAGCTCATTAGTCTCGCAAAGGACGAGCTTCACGTATTTTTCCCGTACGTGGACAAAACGCTACATGAAATTATTAATCCTTCGGGTGACCCGAATGGAGGTCGCGTGTTGCCGGAGGCTGTGGTAAGTACAACGCGGGAAACGTCATCCTCTTCGCCTTCTTTACGGTTTCTCTCGTTTTATTCGTCAGATTCGCAAACTTCTTCACCAACTTCTGGATGCCATCGCGTACTGCCATCGCCGAGGCGTTTTGCACCGCAACCTCAAACCGAAACATCTGCTTATCAAGACGTCCGACACAGACGATCTCAGTAAGTTGGTGGGCTTGCGCACTCGCGATGGAGTTACGTTTGGTGTCTTACATTGTCGGGTATGTTTCAGGCGATGCTACGCTGCAGATCTCTGACTTTGCGCTAGTCCGAGCTACAGGAATCCCTCGTCGAACCTACACAATGGAGGTGGTGACGCTGTGGTACCGGCCGCCAGAGATCTTGATGGGAGTGCGCGGATACTCGTCGGCGGTAGACATCTGGTCAGTTGGCTGCATCTTTGCTGAGATGGCCCAAGGCAAGCCCCTCTTCACAGGCATTTCAGAGATTGATCAGCTGTTCCAGATCTTCAGCAAGCTGTCGACACCCACGTCCGAAACGTGGCCAGGCTTTTCGTCCTTGCCGAACTATCACTTTGAGTTCCCACACTGGAAGCGCCGACCTTTGAATCGCCTGTTCCCGGGAATTTCGGATCTTGGTATCGACCTGCTGACGAAGCTGCTCGTATACAACCCCGACCAGCGAATTACAGCCGAAGATGCGCTTCGTCATCCGTATTTCTCCAGCGAGGCGCCTTCGTTTTTACCGCTGACACCAAAGATTCCTATGGACCAAATGTGCTACACGATGAGCCGCGCAAGGATCGGCCCGACTCCTGAACATGTGGAGCTCTTCCACGCATACTTGCGCCAGACAGAGCTAGATTCATGGAGAGAGATCAAGTACTTGAGGTGCGTGGGGTGAAGCATACACAAGGGGAGTTCGTGAATACTTACGATGTCCATGCATGTTGCAGCCGCCAGAAAACGCTCCGACCTGCCCACCGATCAATGCTTGTCGACTGGCTAATTGAAGGTAAGGGATGCTGACTTGCGCGGCTGTAGTATTGTGTCCTGACACGTACATTTCGTTTGCTTGTGCTCTGATTTAGTGGTGGACGTGTTCGAGATGTGCCTGAGGACCGCCTTCTTGGCAGTTAATTACACAGATCGATACCTGGACATCGTCATGGTGAAAAAGACGCAGTTTCAACTTCTTGGAGCGACGTGTCTGCACGTCGCGTCCAAGTGTGAAGATGTATCCTACATCGGAGTGGAGGATCTCGCCATGTGCGCCGACAACGTGTACACGTCCGTGGAAGTGCTGGAGATGGAAGAAAAACTGTTGAACACCCTCAACTTTTCACTTTCGGTGCCCACTGGTACGCGGCAATCATTTTCCTGTCATGCATGGGCTTGAATGAAGCTCACTAGTTTTTCTTTGTGCAGCGCTGGATTTTCTCAACATCTACGAACGTATGATCCCACCTATCCAGAAGAAGACGTCCATGCTGGCGCATTACTTGCTTGAGCTGGCTCTACAAGAGTACCAGTTTCTGAAGTATTTGCCGTCGGTTGTGGCTGCGTGCTGCTTGTCGATGGCGATGTACACGATGGACGGGTTCCCAATGGTAGGCCTGCATCTTTTGTGACTTAGAAACTGTGCTATGGAGCTGTAGGTAGTAACAGGATGTGTGTATTTGCTGCGCCTTTAGACGAAGGAACTGGTGGATGCTTGTCAGTACAACTGGTCGGACCTGAAAAAGTGTATGGGAGAGCTCCAAACGCTGTACTCTAACTCGCCGTCGAACAATTTGGCGGTGATCAAGAAGCGCTACTCGAAGGCTGAACGCTGCCAGGTGGCGAATGTATTGCCACCGACGACGTTCAGTATGGCATTTTAGTTGGTTTAGTCTGTATTTGTGGGCTACATATTTAGAGCTCGGTCTCTAGGTGAGTGAACTAACGTTACCTACGCTGCTGGCATCACCAGTCCCAGGAAGCGATTACGTGCTCGTCCAACCTTCAGACAACGAGAAAACTACAACATAACAAAGACCGAATACAAGCGAGCACTTGACGGATTTCTGGCGAGCGA